GAGAATTACAATATTAATCAGTTGAATAGCTGGCCCATGATTAATAATTACGAAGGTGGCCTTTTGACTTGAAAGCCATGTCAGAAAATTTTCTTTGACCTTTCGGTACTCATGCTCTGTAAGGGCCAGATCCTCCAATGTGCCAATCAGCTCCTGTGACATGCAGCATACCCTTTGCCTTGCATGAACTTCAATGGGGGCTGAAGAGTGCTCAGCACCTTGCAGGATTGAGCAGGATGGACCTGATCCTGCATCATTGGAAGTTTCTGGGAGTTTCACCTGAACAAGGTCTGCGAGGTCAATTTCAATGACATTGGTCTCTTGAATGAACCAAAAGGTCTGCACACTTATATAAATACATCCTCACGTTAAACTAAGTCAAAGAAAGTTTCTTTTAAAATACATTAATAACATTTGAGGTAAAACATACGGAAGACCTTTAAGCAATAGAACTACGAGCACAAGATTTCTTTTTCTTTTTTAAAAATGATGTTTGCAGAACTCTTAATGCATCATTAAGTTTTCTGGAATCCTAACCACAGCATGATGGATTTGTTTTAAAAGGTTCTAGTATTTAGTTTAGATTCACTTCAAAGTGCCATGTCAGAAAGAAGAAAATAAAGGCAGTTAGTTGCGTAAATCACAAGTAAAAATGAGAGGGAACATGAAGGTTCCAACAACTTTGCCATCAACTGAAAATAAAAAAGTTTATTGTACTAATACAAGATTTTACTGTTTGATGCAACTAGAATATATTTGTTGAAGGGAGAATAGTTTTTATTTAAAATATTTTTCATAGGGTTAGTGGTGGTGGTTCTGCTGGGTTTTTTAAATCAGTTTGTTTTAATAAAACAGCTCAAAAAAGGAATAGGGTTTAATAATTATGCTTAATGGTCATTTTTCTTTGTCAGTTAATTGAAAGGACAAAGTAAAACATTGCTCGAGGAGAAATAAACCTAGTGTCTTCAATATAAGCTAATTTAGCCTTCTTTAAAATAGTAACTTTACTGTTGTATCTTTCTGCTCCATTTAAATAAAGAACAGAAATATTTTCCACAAGTAAATGCAGATCTGTATATTTCTACTGCAAATATAAGCTCTTTTAATTTCTTTAGCAAATAAATAAATAAAAAAAAAAACATAAAAGCTCCTGAGTAAAGACTGCCCAAGGGGAGGGAGAAAAAAAAAACCTCCTAAAACCACCATATTACCAAGCATTAATGCACCAAATACAATCCGGAACATGTCAAACAATGGTATCCACCCACCTAAGAAATGTGCTAATCTAAATCCTCAGTTGCTGTTAACAATAATTAACTAAAACATGAAATATGAATATGGATCCAAGCAAGAGACAAATTAGTATTGAGAAACTGTGTTTAATAATCACCTAAAAGAGACCATCTGTTTATAAAGACCCCTTTTTCCTTGATCTCTGACATGTATTCATAATATAGACACAGCTGGATTTTTTTTTTCCTTTTATAAATACCCTGATACTATAAAGTCCTACCTACAGTATATCTGGTATGAATGTTTGTCTCAAGTTTCAGTTGTTATGTCAGCACTCTGGGGCAATAAAATTTCACTTACAATCATCAGGCTTTGGAGTAAGTATTAAAACATCAGATGGACGGCACTGCTTTCTTTATTCACATAGGGCAGTACTTGATTAATTTTTTTAACGCTGATCGTATTCTCAGTGCTCTCTGGAATAGGTGTCTAGATGTCTCCTGTTCTTTAAATTACTAGTACAGTCCTGACTGGGACTTGGGTTTGTTTTGTTTGCTTAAATAGTTGTTATATTACATTACCAACAGAGGACACTACTTTGGGAAGATTGAAGGAAAGTTAGGTGACTTCTAGGTATCAAAAAGCAAAGCATTTCATATACCATGTTTTCAATCTACTTTAGAGAAGAAAAGAGAGGGAAAAAACACACACCATTGATCCTACACTTCTCACAGATAGAGGTCACTAATGGACTGAATTTGAATCAATGTGGTAGAAACCGCAAAGTTATATGGAAGTAATCTAGGGAAAAATGAACTCATTTTGAGATTAAAGAAGAGGTAGCAGAGATGATTAAGAAAAGCCCTCACCTTCACCGAAACAATGTTATCCTAAAGCCACCCTCTTTCCAGTCTGTTAAACAGACAGTGCCATAATGGGAAAGCCTGATAGAGTTGGACATTTGAACCCCTGCTTGTTTTTGAGTTTGTAAACCTCAGTTTACCTTTTTCTTCTGTTAAAAAGTATGGAAAAATCAAACCTGATAAGATGCTACACTTTGGAGATCTGCTATTTTAAGCAATTCAAGACTAGCACATTCTTGATTCTGGATTGAAACCATACCCCATGTAATGCAGATTCCAACTGGGAGGGTGTAGAGTTGCTATAGGGTGATATGCCTAAATCCTAAATCAAGCTATCCAACAGGCCAGGATATAAATGTGACCTGTAACAGTGACTCAGATTAGATCCAGACAGAGGCAAACCAGGATAAAATATCAACATAAGAAATATAGGGTGTATGTGTGTGTGTCAGGAGGGAATCTTTTTAGAATACCATGTGCATTCCAACACAATTCCTCTTTGTTACAGCCTTGGACTTTGAAAAGTGTGAGGAGTGTTCTAATCACAGATAATTTTACAAGCACTGCATTAGCACGGGGATTAGAATTGCTTCATTTACACAGTTTCTGGCCTGCATGATCATTCTTTTAACTGCCTGGTTACCCAGTCAGGAGGGAGAACAGCAATTTAGACAGAAATTCCTCTACAAATAGAGAAGTTCAAGGTGCATATGCAATGCCCCATCATAGCCCAGTAGCAGGGGCTAATTGCATAGATATTTTGCAATGTTTCATTCTGGATTCATTTTCAAGAGCAACATCAACCTGGAATAAATCAGTATTGTATTTATTTATTTTTTTCTACAAGTCACTTTTTAAATTTAGTAATCCTGGCTTTTAGACGCATCTGTTGTATCACGGTGCTGCAGAGCCATGCCTCAATGACAGCCATGCACATTACGACTCTTTATTTCAAAGAGAGAGAGAAAAGATTTATTGGTGCGGTACCTTTAAATTAATTTGGAAAAATGACAGAAGGCTAGTGCTGTTCCCCCCCCTCCCCCCTCCATGCACACTTTCATTTCCATATAGATATAAAGACTTCTCAGTGACTTTTCTCTGAATTCATGATTGAATAAAAGGTGCCTTTGGGTAAAAATCACATTATTCAATGAAGCCATGAATGAGGTGCATAGGAGGTTTAGGGGTTGTTGGGGTTTTTTTCTGAGTAAAGACTGCAGGATTCGGCTCCACACGTTAACTCAAGCTTGAGATCTATTAGATTCTATTAGTTTGCAAGCTTTGAGAAGTTAGATGCAGTAGATAAAAGTGTGTGTGTGTGTGTGTGTGTGAGAGAGAGAGAGAGAGAGAGAGAGAGAGCGCTCTGACTGGGTTTAGTATCTCTCCCGCTTCCCAGAAAATGCAACCAGACTCTTCTTTTCTGTTTAGCAGTGGCTTTGCATGACCAAAAAGCAGCATCTGCTTTACAGCCGGTGTTTTGTTTTTGTTTTTATCCTCACACGATGGAGAGGTGGGTTTTTTTTTGTTTTTTTTTGTTTTTTTAAATCATCATAATTTGACTATTTACATTCGAGGCTGCTGTCTATTTGGAAGACTTGATGCATTTTTTTTTCTTTCTTGCTCTCACTCATGCACCCACCCCTGGTCAAGTCGCCTTAGGGATCTGATGAATTCTGATGCTTGTACAGTTAGTTCCCTTTTCTCCCCTTGGCTGTTCATTTGGATTTCTTAATGCTTGTCAGCAGTGAGCAATCTGCTATCTCCTCCGAACCTAGCTCATCTGTTAAAATTCCAGTTGCCAAAAAGATCCCCCCCCCGCTGCCCCCCAAAATAATCAAACACCACTCCCACCCCTCGAGATTATAACTCAGAGGTTCGTTTCTACTGATCTTCTAGGTGTTTCCGTTGAAAGCTGGAGCCTTGTTTCTCGATCATGGAGAGGTTGGGGTGCACACACGTGCCCGGGGAGGGGGGTTGTTTTTTGTATGGATTCTAAAATGGTAGCGGACAATCTATGGTCATCAAAAGGATTTGCGATGATGAGGATGAAAGCTTTGAGATCTACTCAAAATACACTCTGATTGAAACAAACCAAGGCGAGGAAACTTACACTGCAATTCACTAACAGGCGTAAAATAACCGAGCAACCCTCCTGACACTTGTCACATACCATTCATAAATGTGTGTGTGTGTGTGTCACACACACACACACGGTCTCTAATGAGATGGAGGGTGATATTTCTAGTATAGAACCCGATCCTGGATCATTAACTTCTTACCTCCTTCTATTGAGGTGGGGGGTAGCTGCAAACTACTGGGGAACTGGAATTAGCAGGGAGGAAAAGGGGAGAAATGAAATCTCATCCGTACCTGGCAGGGCTGAGAGTCCTTCTCCGGCACCGATCATAATCCCCCTCTGCGCCTGTTGCCCCCCACACCAAAACTTTTGCAGCAGCTGACGGCGCTTCTCCGTGGTGGTGGCCGGGCCGGTCGCCTCTGGCAGTATCCAATGCGGTGCGGGCGAAAAGCTGCCGGAGCCCGAGCCCGCCCTGCAGGCTCCGCTTCCCCGCAGGCTGGCGCTTGCCTGTGCCTCCTCCCCGGAGCGCTCCGTTCCCCTTCTCTCTCCTTCCTCCCTTAGGAGGCAGCGGCATCATCCTCCCCCTTTCTCCTCCACCTCCTCCTCCAACGCGCAGCCCAGGGCGCGGGCATCCCCAGCACGCTTGCTCTCCGCGCTTCTCTCCCTGCCCTCCCGCTGCCCCCAAATAAATAAATGAAGGGAGGAAGGAAGGGAAGGAGAAGCCGAAGGAACCGGATCAAGCCTGGTCTTTTCTCCGCTGGAGACGCGTGGATCGCATGAGGAGGAGCCACAGAGACCCAGGACCCCGTGCAGCCTCCGGAGGGACCGGACACCTATGTATGAATATACGCGGGTCCGTCTGTCTCCTTCTCGCTCCTCGTCCTGGGCTTGCTTTCAGCCGGGCTTGCAGGCTGACCTTAGCCGTTATGATGCCCCAGATCTGACTATTCCCTGCTAATGTAAGTCGTGCTTTTTCCTCTCTCTCTCCCTCTCCCCCCCCCTCCCTGCCTGACACCCCAGGGAGATGTTTACAGTAATGAATTCAGTTGATAGCCATCTCTCTCTCCCCCTCTCCTGGAGTCCCTCCCACATTGCTAGTTTAAAGAATGCTTGGAAGGCAGCGCAGGGCTGCAACTTAGAGCTTTCCAAGAGGCAAAGTCAGGCTCTGAGGGTTGGGGTTTTTTTTTGTTTTGTTTTGTTTTGTTTTTTAACCCACCCCTTGCCGAAAGCGGTGTCTGCCCCATCAGATTAGTGCCTACGCGCAGCTCACTATATGGAGCGTTGGCAATGCGAAGCGCGCTAGAAGGGTTACAGTCTAGATCCGGGCCGATGTGCGTGCTTTAGTTGTTTTAATGGCAAAGAGGGGCTCTCCTTGCAGCCCTCTCGCCAAATAGCTGTGCCAAAGAAGGTAACACTGGCAACATAGCGCTATTCTTGCATAATGAATCCCCCTCCTCCCCCCGTTAGGAATAAGGCCACCGTGTGATCTGCGACTGTTCCTGTCTCCTGTCTGAGGGCTATTGGATCCTATCAATGGGGATTGGTTTAAATAAAAGAAACTCCCGGGGCCAGTGATCCAAAAGGAGAGGTTCCCCCCAAATTATAATAATCCTCTCCGCCAACATGGCGTTATTTCACTTGCAGGCAACCTCTGACGATTTCTTTCTCTCTCTTTCTCTTTTCTCCTCTCTAAGAACTTTTATCTGGGAAATAACAACAAAACAATACAATCATATCCTTGGGGAAAGAGACGGATCTTTTTAAATACTCTGTCTGATTGCCTTGATCAGACAGCCAGACTTTAAAACTGCTGGAGAAACCTGGGGATGTATTTTATGGCCAACTATGTCTTGTCATGCATATCAAATAAACCCCATACTGATGTCTTGGACGGAGCCAAGAACCCCTTTAGTTTTGGGGTTTTTTTTTTGCACACGTTCCAGATTGTCTGCATTTCTTTCAGTGGGAAAGAAGAAAAAAAAAACCAAACCCTTCCTAGTTCACTAGTAAGTGCCTGCCATGTTCTAACAAGTAAAGATGAAAGCTGTGTTATTTAATTTTGAAGAGCAAGTTACAATATAGACTTTCGGGGGCGGGCAGCGGGGGGACGGCTACCTGGAAAGTGCAGGACACAGATTGTGTTTTAAGTTATTACAGGGGAGGGTAGAGAGGAAAAGAGAGGGGAGAATAGGTGAATTCGATCCATTCCATGTGTCTATTAGCCGGGAAAGGCAATTGAAGTGTCTCGGGATGTATTTATTCGTTGCTTTTGACTGCATGATGAACTTGAAATGTCTGTTCATCTGTAGTTTAAAAGTGGAGCCATTTGACATCGGTTTCTGAATCTTATTCTAAATTCATTTGGGGGTCTAAATTATTCCCCCCCTTTTCAAGGGCATACCTCATCCTGAGGCCCCTTGATGGGGGAAACTCTATTTGATGCACTAAACAGAGATGGCCAATGTTTAGAGAATGGACTTGTGCGCCTTACTCTGTGCCCCTCTCTCCTTTATAAACCCTGTCACACACCACCACCACTTGGACCTTCCCTTCCACCCGCCAACCTTTCCCCACAGTGTAGGGCCCTTAAAGGTGGGTAGAGAAAGGCTACAATTATAGCGCCCTGGAGTAGACCGCAGCCCAGACAGATTGTATTGCAGAAGTGCGCTCTAAAGAATGCCAAGGGGCAAATCAGAGGCGAAGGGCAGCCTGCCTGCCTGTGCCATCTTGCCAGGAACTTCCCTCCGCGGATGCCACATCAAAGCTTTGCTGCTCACTGCACTGCCCAGTCCCGGAGCTTTGTTTCCCGGAGCACAGCAGAAGCCGCCTGTTACCGCCACCCTCCTCCCCCCGACCTTGATCTTGCTTCCAGATGACACATTTCTCTACACCGGTGCAGTGCCGCGACCGGGGAGGGGGGAGACGAGAATATCCTGCCCTTCTGTAGGGGCTTGGGGGTGACAGGAGTTGTCTGCATGATGGCAAACGCCTAGCGGCTTTATTACCTTTGCAGCACAGGGGTGGCAGCAGGTGTCTTCTCCAGAGTCCCACAGGGATCAGTAGGATTCTGGTCACAAACCATGGCCAAGGCGCTTGTGCCGCGAGTTCGCCCGGGCTCAGACAGGAGTACTGTGCAAGCCAGAGAAAGCTGAAGCGCAGAGCTGGCCCCGTTCAAGGCAGGGTGGAAATAATCACTAATGAGGAGAAGGGCTGCCGCCATCAAACCTACTCTCTGCGTGCAGCTTCATGCTGGCCCCGAGGAATGAAAGTAGCGCCAGCCCTAAGGGGTTAAATGGGACCTAAACATTCCAGAGAATGAACAGAGTCTTTCAAAGCTCGATTCGGAGTCTTTTTTAAAGGACCAGGAGCCCTGTTAGGGCGATGGGGGGCTTTTAAAGGTAATTATTTTAAAGTTAGTTTTACTGAAGCTGAGTGACTGATACAAGATGAGAGACATTTTCTCCTTGCCAGCCCTTACAAATAGCCCCTTTTAAAAAGCTATCAGTGGGACTAATTGCAAGGGAGGTTTGCTGCACTATCTCCACCCCCGCACCCCCCACCCCAGGATAGAGCCGCTCTTCACAAATGCCTGGCTGTAGGTGCTGGAACTATAGATGCTGAAGCACCTCCAGGCTTGAAGCGGTTTCCTTTCTAGACAGGGTTTGCATTTTGGTTCAATGGCTCTCAGCCACCCCCACTACACAATTGTTCCAACACCCCCGCCTGACTTGGTGAGATCTGCTTTGCGTAGCAATGTTGGAGCTTGCTGCTCTGACTTGTAGGCACAGAGAGTAGCCATAGAGTTATGTCTGGTTCCCCCATCTCAAGTTAAGGTCAAAGCGAGAGAGAGAGAGAGAGAGAGAGAGGTATATAGCCCAACACAGTCGTCAATTCTAGCTCATCCCATCCCAGAAAGAAAGATGCAACTGACCCAGCTGTTACCTGCTGTAGCGGAAGTTCCTCCTAGGGAATCTCACCCAAACCCCACTGGGTCAGGAAGGTTGAAAAGAGAGAAACTTACAGAAGAGAAAAAAGAAAAGGAGTACTTGTGGCACCTTAGAGACTTACAGAAGAGAGGGACTCCTGCATGGTATTGTTTTAAGGATCACCACCAAGGTCTCCTTTTTTTCATAGCTGGCAATGATCACCATCACCCCAGCTTCCTCTTAAGGAAAGGGAGGACGGAAAGGAGCTTCCGGAGCTGCTGTCCAGCCGGTCATTGAACCCTGACACCCCACTGGCTGGCACGGACGAGCTCACGGCTGAAGTGGTTAAAACGCCCTTTTTAATTTTTTTTTTTTATTTATTTTCTTCCCCCTTCCCCCAGCGCTTCCAGCTCAACAAGGCTGAGCGATCTTATCGATGTGTGATCATTACTCACTGGTGACAAGCAGAGCCGCAGAACTCCTAAGTGAGTGTGACAGCTTTCCAAGGTATGGCTGCAGCGCACCCAGCCTTAGACATAGTCTTCCTCAAACTGTGTCTAGCGGTTTAACCCTTTGCAGCCTCACAGAAGAGCAGTCGCACAGGTCACTGGGAAACCCCAACCCAGCTGGGATTGCCTATTGAAGGTCAACAGCAAAGATGCTTGGCTTATGTCTTTTTATAGCGTGTCCGTTTCTACTCTTAGTTTGCTTTAAACAGACAGCGTAACTCCGTTCTAGCTTGGGAGACAAATATTTCTTCTCTGTGTTTAGGGACTTACTGGATCCTCTAGTTAAAAACAGACCCCTGTGCGGACCACATCTTTTGTCCCTGGCTTGGGAGAGGTCTCGAATCTAGCATGCAAAACTTCAGACAAGTCCTCCCTCTTTGCTATTTCTCCCTCTGTCCCACCTCTGGCACTTTCCCCATCGAGGAGGGTGATGGAGCCGAAAGTACGTATTTGGAAATAGTACTCCATTCAAGCGCCATTCAAGGTTATTTATAGTAGCTTCAACAGGGACAAGTAAAAGTACCCAGAAGAAAAAAGTGAGAGTCCCACGTAGGCAATTCGCCAGTGTTCAAAGGAAAGCTTTACCACCACCATTAAACTTGAACATGTGGGGACACGTTGCCTTCGGGGGGGGGAAGGGTATTTTGAAATGGGAGAGCTAAGTCTTGTGTAAGTCACAAAGACAATCGCGGGGGCAGGCGAATCTTTCAAAACTAGATCCCACCGGGCTCGATTCTGCTCCGGGACACTTCCACTGCTTTGTAAAGTTTTAAACACGGAGGAAAAAGAGAGAGAAAGAAACCGACAGGCAGAGGCATTATCAACGCTCCACCGATTTTTAATGTGCATTTTAAAAACAACTTCCCAATAACGGATCGTGTTCCCCTCTAAAGAGCTAACATCAGTTGAACGAAACCCATCGATTAAAAGGAGTAAAGATTCTGTTAGAAAGTCTTTTCCAGAACTCCAAACTGATAGTCAGGTCAATACATCTAATCTGCTTTTTTTTTTCATTAAGACTTTAAAACTAGACTGGACAAAACACAGAAGGGAATCATGCTGTACTTGCCAAGGGATAGATCAAGTTTATCCCCCCATCTCTTTAATGTCTTTGATGTATACACAAAATCAAACAAGCCTCCTTGAAAGACTTTATAAAACGTATGAAATATTCCGGAGACAGTAATAAAAAAAAAAAAAAACCCGATGGCATAAATACCGTGATTATGCCAGAATGAGTCAAGTCTCACAAATATGATTATCATTTCTATCATCCCACTTATGTACAAACAGGAAGCTTTCTAAAAGGGAAAAATTACACATCAATGCCCAGAGAAGCATTAAACAGCAAGTTAAGCACTATGCTGTTGTGGAATTGCTTGTAAGTCTCTTTGCTTTGCCAAGGTGGCAGCATAGCACAGGGTTAGGCTCCTTGGAGGAACACAAGAAACATCAACATTCAAGAACACATTGTGGGATAGCTGAGGAGTGCTAACCTACCAGCTTTTAAAACCTCCCCCCACCTAGTTTAGGCTGATTTATTTATTTATTTAGTTCCCTCCTTTGAATGATTAATCTTGGTTATAGCCTGATTGCTTAGACCTTAAACAGTGTCTTTTTTTCTAAAATTGATGAAGCTTTTTCTTTTCTATATATACTTTATATGGTTGTAAAGGAAATCACCTGAAAGGAGAACACAGAAATATATACTTCTTAAATGATCTGTGATTATAAGTGGGGCTAGCCTAGAGTGATGTGCCAGTGATCCATACTAAAGGCCCGCTGATGCAATTACTTTTAAGAGTGACAGAAACGATATAACATAAAAAACAAAACAAAAGAGCTTATTTTGAAGAGGTGGCATTAGAGTGATATTTGTACATTATAAGTGGAAGAAAGGGTAAAGGGAGCTCCAGATATTTCTCTTGATTCAAATAAATGAATCTGTCACAGAATGCCTTCCCTCACCCTGGATTTCTCTTTGCAAACATTCTTCACACACTCTTTGTAAGTTCACCGCAGTGTACTTCATTTATAATACCTCATTCAACTTCATGTCCCAGCCCCACAAGGCTTTTCCCAAGCACAGGGTGAAAGAGTGGGAAGAAAAGTCTCACTACTGAGATCCTGGGCTTCTTTACCCTTCCTTACAGCTTCCCTTCCTGTCTACCCTTTAACAGTGCCCACTGGATATATTGAATCCCCTTGTTAACTAGTTAAGAACCCCACCCTTACTCAAGTATCTCCCCAATTTGGCTCCTGCAGAGTGGAAGCTTGCAGAGTGTGAGTCACCCTTAGGCTTACTCCATTCTGTCACAGAATCTGATCAAAAATCCACTGAAGTGTACTCATTTACTTCAATGGGCTTTGGATCCTGAATTCACAGGAGACAGAAGGGGAAATTGGGACTGTAGTCAGTTTCTGGCAAATAAAATATGT